AGCCTCATCTCAAGTCTTCTTATTTGGCTTTATTGAAACTTTGGAAATAAAAGGTGCCATACATGGGCATACACTGACAAGACAAAGTTTTAGCTCCTCACAACATTCTGATTACAATTTATATAATCTCTTTCCAACTTAGTGCCTTCTATGTGTATTAGACTAGATTTTCCATCATACCTACTTAGCCTAGTTAGGAATGATAGAAGCATTTAGAGGACAGCTGAATGAGGAAATCTGATTTACATTATAGTTCTATAAAAGACGTTCTGCTCCCTTTTAGAGTTTCTGAATGTTTGCCTATCTTTGCCACTGAATGTTATCAGAGCTGCATGGGGATCCCACTGCAGGTACTGCTGTAGAAGAATAAAACCATTTTACAGCTTAAAGAACGAAGCGATTGCTCTTTGTTGTTGGAATGATGAGATGCCTACAGTGTTCTCTTGTCAAATAATATAGTGGGATATAAATTTAATGAATAGTATTAACAGCTGCAGCAGCTTAAACTACCATCACCAGCCTAGATTGCACTGAAGACAGATAGCTCTCCCCTGGACATTCTTACCACCTGACCTGCAGACCTTTAAAAGAGTGAGTAGGATACTTAGCCTAAGTTTTAAATACCCCCAGAAGCTATGAGAGCACTTTATCTACCTTTTTTGCAGCTTTACCATCAGCAGTGACCAGCACTGCATCTGAAATCTAGATAAGGAAATAATCCCTAGACATTTTGATCAACTGGTTTGAAGGACTTTGAAAGGGTTAAGTGGAGTATTTAGTCCTGTCCTAAAACAGGCAGCAGGGATTGGCATCACAGGGAGAGCACCAAGGAGTTTGGTCTTTCAATTGTTCTTTTAGGGAGCAACAAGGGCAAGGGTGCTCTCTCTTTTCTCAGGACATTAATGATTAGAGGAGAGACTTGGGCTGTCTCAGGGTGCAAGCTGGGATTTTGTTGCTGCAGTCTCTTTTTAAGCTGCCCTCTAGGTGAGACCTGGTGGAATAGATGAATGAGGCTGGAATAAGATCCCAGCAGAACTATTAGTGCAATTCGCCTGAATACATACAGAATGCAGATAATAAACATGGTTTAGTAGGGCAGTTTTTTAGTGTTGTAAATGAGATCTAGGACAGAGAGCTTCCTTCTTATAGTATCTCATTTTTTGTTAATTTGCTATTTTGTTTTTTATGTGGCTGTGTTATGTTTCCCTTCCACAATTAGTGCCACATTTCTGTGGCTTAACAGAAAGTAATTGTGCTAGGTATACAAGTTTTATCTTCCTCCAACGTGGTGCAGGAGGAAAAGAAATGTTGGAAAAGAAATAAGCTGCAGCAACTATGATGCAAGTCCAGAAATAAATCTAAGTGCGCATAATAACAGCCTCACCATAGAAGTTTTGTCGCAGCAATCAAAGAAGCAGCAGCATCAGATCTTCTCCCCAATTGCTTCCACAGAAAATTGTCCAAAGGATCTTTCTCAGGTTGTTGGATGAATGACCATGTCTCTACTGGCAACCAGATTCTAAGCTGCAGTGTGAACAATTTGGGCAGTTCTTTACTAAAAAGATTGCTTGGATTTGCGCTGGTCGTAAAGCCAATTTGAGCAGTGACATACCTAGGATATCCATTGGACCATTTAATAATATTCATATGATTAAAGTTCTATATTCTGAGGAAGATTCCTGGATCTGTTTGTTCCACTACAGTACTTGTAAG